TAAATGGGGAGTGAGGAAAAACAAAGTAAGTTTGTATTCAGGGACACAATAGATGAATCCTGACAGAAAGGGAGGAAAAAATATGGAACAAAACTGTAAATTCTTAAAGAATGCAGACTTACTGGACCTATTGAGGCTGTAGGAGTCCCCAAGACTACTGCCAAATTACTCTTCAAAACCATCCCCTGAAATCACCTTTAGATTGAGTAACGGTCTAGCTGAAGGAGGAGTAGTCATATCGTGGGTGGGCCGTGGAGCTGAGTGGCTTGGCAGTGTAGTTACCCCCTATGATGAGACTGGACATGATGGAATCACCTCCATGGTGGATCTGCCGTGAGCAGCTAATTCACTGAAGGGAAGTGGCCTTCAGAGTGTGGCCTGCTCCCAGGACACGTGGAGAAGCTCTGGGAAAGGTCTCTAGCTTTTGGACTCATTTTGGGCCCTGCATTTGGCCCATTATCATCTCCAGGACTTGAACCAGTGGCCTGCTATATTGCCTGCCGATTTGCGGATTGTTGCCTTCCCAACTTGTGAGCCAAAAATCTGCCATTTTTCCTGCCCATCTTGGGTTCGTCAGCCTGGGCAGGCGGCAGCTGAGTGAGTCAGAGGCCTGCAGTTTGCTCCAATGGGTCCGGAGGGCGAAGAGCTGCAGCCCAACCCCAAGGGCTCTCCACCCAACCCCTAGAGCCAGCATTCTGCACTGGTACTTCTGGCCTAGTCAGCCCTAGAGCTGGCATTCTGAGCTCAGACTTCTAGCCTTCTTGGCTCCTAAAGTTTAATAGGGAGCTCTGGTAGCGTAGTGCCTAAGGCACTTGACTGCTAACCAGAAGGCTGGCAGTTCAAACCCGCCAGCCACTCCTGGGAAGGAAGGTTGGGCAATCTACTTCCGTAGTGATACCGCCTCGGAAACCCAAGGAGCGGTTGCTATGAGTCAAGTCAACTCAATGGCAGTGACTTTGGTTTGGGCTTTGCTTCCAGTGGATGTGGTTTGGGCTTTGCTCCCATAAAGACTGACAGCCTTGGAGACCCTGTGGTG